TTTTCGATTTTGCACTTTTCCGATTTTCAAGTTTCTCAATTTTTATTCTTTCGATGTTTCAAAGCTTTTTTCATTTTTGAATTTTCAATTTTACAATTTTGCAATTTTTCATTTTTTTATTCAAAAAATTGAAAAATTCAAAATCGAAAAACTAAAAAATGGGAAAAAATTGAAAAATCGAAAAACCGAAAAATCGAAAAATTGCAATTCGAAGAATTAAAGCAACGAAAAATGGAACATTGAAAAACTAAAAATCTAAAAATTTAAAAATCGAAAAAAATTAATGTATCGAAAAATTGGAAACCCCAAAAATTGTGAAATCGAAAAATTACAGAACCGTCAAAATTGTAAAGTCGAAAAACATTTTAACATTGAAAGGTCAAAAAATTAAATATCGAGAAACTGAAAATTTAAAAATCGAAAAATTTAAAAATCGAATAAAATTCAATAATTTAAAACTGGATAAATTCCAAAATTGTAAAAAAACACTGAAAAATTTTAAAAATTTTAATTACTGCAACATACTTAAAGTGAAATGTAGAGAAATTGAAGAAATGAAAAATTTTAGACTGAATAAACGGAAAATTAAAAAATCTGAAAGTGGAAAATTCGAAAACTTTCAAATGAAAAATTGAAAAATTCAAATTGAGAAACTGAAATTGAAAAAAAAAAATTATAAAATCGGAACCCTGAAAAGTGGAAAAATTGTACAAATAAAGAAAATAAAAAACCGAGACGAAAAATTGCAAATCGTAAAAAAGAAGAAATGAAGAACTGAAAAACCAAAATTTTCGAAAATCTTTCGAGAATTTTTTTTACACTTTTAAGCAACTTCGCCAAAAGCTCAAATTTTTATTTTTAATTTTTTGAGCCGAACCCTCAAAAATTTCCAAACAACATCTTTTGTTGATTTTGACTTGCAGAAGTAATTTTCGGCAACATTTCTTCGAAAATTCCAACCGGATTTCAAGAATCACCAAAAAGAAATATGGCCATTTTCAGGACATTAAAAAAATATTGTTTTGAAACCGAAAGAATTAGAAAATCTTGGTCTGGGTCTATCAATGCGCTGTTTTTTGAACCAATTTGTCCAGATTTGTATTCTAGAATTCTTGCGGATTTTTAGGCAACTCTGAGAAGCTCAAGTTTTCCATCCTTTTTAACATTTTTGAGCTCTTTTCAAGCACTTTCAAAAATTAGCAGAAGATTTCTTGTTGATTTCGATTTGCAGGAGTCATTTTTGGCAACATTTCTTCGAAAATTCCAACCAGATTTCTAGAATCGCCAAAATAAATATGGCGATTTTTGGAATATTTAAAAACTTTGATTTTGACACCGAAAATTTAGAAAATTTTTAGGCAACTTTGGTAAAAGCTCAAAAACTGAAAACTCGTGAAATTGCAAATCGAAAAAGAATTAAGAATTGAAAAAACTGAAACTGAAAAAACAAAAAATTACAATCAGAAGATTGAAAAATCAAATTGAATAATAAACCTAATAATTCAAAAATAAAAAAATTGAATATTTTAAAAAATTATGATTGACTATTATAACATACTTCAAATGAAAAGTAGAGAAATTGAAGAAATGAAAAATTGAAAAATTGAGAATCTGAAAAATTCACAATCTAAAAGTGGAAAATTCGAAAACTTTCAAATCGAACCAATTAAAAATTTAAAAAATCAAAAATTTTACATTGAAAACAAGGAAAACTATAAAATCAGAACACTGAAAAATCGAAAAATTGACAACAAGGAAAATAAAAAGCCAAAACTGAAAACTCGTGAAATTGCAAATCGAAAAACTGAAACATCCAAAATTTGGAAAGTCTGAAAATTGAATAATTTAAAAATGAAAACTCTTTTACCTTGACAAAAAGAGAAATCGTAAAATCAGAACATTGAGAAGGCGAAACATTGAAAAAATTAAGAAAATAAAAATCGGAACTGAAAAATTATGATTGACTATTATAACATACTTCAAATGAAAAGTAGAGAAATTGAAGAAATGAAAAATTGAAAAATTGAGAAACTGAAAAATTTTAAACTGAATAAACGAAAAATTCACAATCTAAAAGTGGAAAATTCGAAAACTTTCAAATCGAAAAATTAAAAAATCAAAAATTTTACATTGAAAACAAGGAAAACTATAAAATCAGAACACTGAAAAATCGAAAAATTGACAACAAAGAAAATAAAAAGCCAAAACTGAAAACTCGTGAAATTGCAAATCGAAAAACTGAAACATCCAAAATTTGGAAAGTCGGAAAATTGAATAATTTAAAAATGAAAACTCTTTTACCTTGACAAAAAGAGAAATTGTAAAATCAGAACATTGAGAAGGCGAAACATTGAAAAAATTAAGAAAATAAAAATCGGAACTGAAAAATTATGATTGACTATTATAACATACTTCAAATGAAAAGTAGAGAAATTGAAGAAATGAAAAATTGAAAAATTGAGAATCTGAAAAATTCACAATCTAAAAGTGGAAAATTCGAAAACTTTCAAATCGAACCAATTAAAAAATTAAAAAATCAAAAATTTTACATTGAAAACAAGGAAAACTATAAAATCAGAACACTGAAAATTCGAAAAATTGACAACAAAGAAAATAAAAAGCCAAAACTGAAAACTCGTGAAATTGCAAATTGAAAAACTGAAACATCCAAAATTTGGAAAGTCTGAAAATTGAATAATTTAAAAATGAAAACTCTTTTACCTTGACAAAAAGAGAAATTGTAAAATCAGAACATTGAGAAGGCGAAACATTGAAAAAATTAAGAAAATAAAAATCGGAACCGAAAAAAATAAAAAAATTGAAAAAATCAAAAGTTGGACAATTTGGACTTGAAAACTCGAAAAATTGCAAATCAAAAAACTGAATAAAACAAAAAAATCTGGATTTATTTACCTTTGGCTAACTTTTTGATATCACAGTTTTTCACTTTTTCGTTTTCTTCGATTTTATATATTTTTCTATTTTTCAATGTTTCGGTTTCATAATTTTTCGGTTTTTCAACTTTAATTTTTTCAATTTTTCAATTTCTCGATTTCCAAATTTTTCAGTTTTTCGTTTCTTCAATTTTTGATTTGCTATTTTTCAAGTTTGCGATTGCCATTTTTTCGTTTTCTCGATTTCTCAGCTCTCATTTTTCATTTTCCCGATTTTTTTATTTTCATTTTCTCGATTTTAGACGAGTTTTTCGCTGTTTTATTTTCTTTATGTTTCAGAAATTGAAAAATCTAAAAATTAAAAATCGAAAAGCTAAAAAATGGGAAAAAATTAAAAATCGAAAAACTGAAACATCGAAAAATTGCAATTCGAAGAACTGAAGCAACAAAAAATTGGAACATTGAAAAACTAAAAATCTAGAAATTTAAAAATCGAAAAAAACTAATGAATCGAAAAATTTGAAAGATGAAAAAACCAATCGAATCGAAAAATTGAAAATGCCAAAAATTGTGAAATCTAAAAATTACAGAATCGTCAAAATTGTAAAGTCGAAAAACTGTAACACCGAAAGGTCAAAAAATTGAAAAATTAAATATCGAGAAACTGAAAATTTTAAAAATCGAAAAATTGAAAATATGATTCAATAATTTAAAAATAGAAAAATTCCAAAATTGTAAAACAAAACTGAAAAATTTTAAAAATTGTAATTATTGCAAAATACTTAAAATGAAATTGAAGAAATGAAAAATAGGAAAATTGAAAATGAAAAATTTTAAACTCAATAAACGGAAAATTAAAAAACCTAAAAGTGGAACTTTCAAATGAAAAATTGAAAAATTCAAATTGAAGAAATTGAAACTGAAAAAAGAAAAAATTATTAAATGGGAACACTGAAAAGTGGAAAAATTGTACAAATAAAGAAAACAAAAAACCGAAACGAAAAATTGAAAATCAAAAATTCGAAGAAATCAAGAATTGAAAAACTGAAAAATTAAAAATAAAAAAATTGAAAAGTCGAATAAATGATAAGGTTTCAAATTCCAATAATTGGAAAATGTAAAAATTCTAGAATCGTAATATCGAAAAACCAAAAAAAAAATCTTATTATTATTAGAGATTTAAAATGAAAACTAGAAAAATTGCAATTCAAAAATTGAAAACTAAAAACTGAAAAATCCAAACACCGAAAAATTTTACCTTGACAAAAACAGAACTTGTAAAATCAGAACATTGAAAAAGCGAAAGTCTGAAAAAACACAGAAAACAGAAATCGGAAACGAAGAATTGCAGATCGAAAAATTGAAAAACAAAAAAATAATTCAACTGATATCATTAATGGGTTGAGTCAAATTCCAGTCAACATTTAACTGTTAGCATAGTTACAAGGTGAAGATACTTCAATCTCCTTTATCTTTCGATGACTTTCCACCACTTTTTTTCTAATCTTGCTAATAAGCAAGATTAGAAATTTTTTTCTAATCTTGCTAATAAGCATGATTAGAAAAAACACGAAACCAAACACAGCATTTTTACCAACAATATGTCTTTCAAACTCATAGAAGTCGAAAAATTGTACGAAAAAGACCCACAATTGCGAAAACAAGACATCGAAGTGCTACACCAATGGTTAAATGGGCAGCCACATCTTCCAAAATTGATGGGTACGTTTTCCACAATTTTTTTATTTAAATCTACTTAAATCAAACACTATTACAGACATTCAAATAGCATTTTTGCTACATCACTGCTACCACGATATAGAACAGACGAAAATCACCATTGACCACTACTGTACCATCCGAAATCATTGTCCTGAAGTCTTCACTGCTCTGACCCCTGACGTTTTAAAAACTACAGCTTCCATAATGTAAGTTCCTCTCAAAAAACGAACTCAATTCATGTAGAATCACCAGGTTTGTGAACGTTCTCCCCAAAACCACCCCCGAAGGTTACACTATTATTGTGAACAAGATTCTAGACGAAAAAGTGACCAATTTCAACTGTGGAAATTATATAAATCTGATTAATATGACTGCTACACTTTATATACTCCAAAATAGTTTCCTAAATGGGGTTATCGTTCTCTTTGACATGAACGGATTTTCGTTTTGGCATTTATTTAAACTGAACATACGTATATTACGACATGCGTTGCGTCACCTCCAGGTATTTCACCATTCCCTAATCAAACGAACTTTTAATAATAATTTGATTCAAGAAAAGCGCGCCAGTCAAAATCAAAGGAGTCCACGTGATGAACGCCCTTCCACTCACTGACAAAATTAAAGCTTTGCTGAAGCCCTTCTTAAACAACGAACTGTATAATTCTGTAACTAGAACAACGTTTTTGGAATCTAGTGTATTTTTTATGTTTTTAGATTTACTATCACTCGTCCAATTCAGACACTTTGTATAAATTTGTGCCGAAAGAGTGCCTGCCTGAGGATTTTGGTGGCGAACTGCCCTCGATTAAAATTTTAAACGGTCTGTATTTTTGTTTTTTTTTTTGATATAATTTATAGATTTTAGAGGAAAGTGTGCAGAACCTGTTGGACAACTACGAGTTTTATGAATGGCATGATAGCCAAAAGGTGGACGAGTCGAAGAGGCCTGTGAAACGCAAATAGTGTTCGTGTAAAAACTGTGTATTTAAAAATCGGTATAGTTTCCCCAGTTCTAATTCGGCTTTATGATGTGTAAAAGTTTTAAACCGAGTTAGAACTGGGGAAACTATACAACTATTACGTTAATAACTACCTGTTTTGCTTAATCTCTGAAGTATCCAGTCAATTTGCTGTTAGTTTTTATACTATTGTTAGTGTTGAAAAATCTGATGTTGCATGGTACAGGTACATTATTTAGGTCTTTAGCTATATTCAATATGGTGCTATTTATATTGGGTAATGATTAAAAAATTACTAATATAATATATGTATTAAAAACAGTACTGGGCCAAGAATCGATCCTTGCGGGATACCGATTCTGACTGCTACTGAGTTAGAAAGTTCACCCTTCCTTTGTGTTCTAAACTTCAGATACGATGTCATTGGTTCAGTACTGTTGCTGTCAAGTCTGTATCGTTTTAATATTTTAAGATCTATAACTAACACAGCGAGACTAAAAAAGCGACAAAAAGACAGCAAAAAACGCAAAAAAGAACTTAAAACGCAATAATAAAAGTAAAAAAATCTACAAAAAAGCACGACAAAAAAAGGATAAGAAAAGTGAAAAAAAAAGAGAGCTAAAAACACGACAAATAAAAAAAACAACAGAAATTATAACAAAAGAAATAGAATGACAACAAGAAACGTGACAAAAATTTCAAGCAAATAAGACGTCAAAAAAGATACAAAAAACACAAAAACGACACAGCAAGAACAAAAAAGGAATTAAAAATGCGACAAAATAGTAAAAAAGGACGAAAATCGACAAAAAAGCGACTACGAAAACACAACACAAGAAACGACAAAAAAACAAAAAAAAAACACAACAACAAATATATATATAGATATATATGTAATTAAAAAGAGGACAAACAGCGACCAAAAACACGACAAAAAAAGATTACAAAAAAATGCAACAGTGACAAATATTAGAAGTGACCAAAAAAACAATAAAAAGAACAAGATAACGACCAAAAAGTGACAAAAATTTTAACCAAGAAATTAAAAAAAAATAAAAACAACAAAAAATGGATCAAAACGACCCAAAAACATGACAAAAACTGCAACAGCAAAGAAAATCAACAAAAAAACAGAAAATGTCGACAATGCGACAAAAAAGTCGACAAATAACCACCAAAATACCAACAAAAAAATATAAAAAACAAAACGGCAAGCGGCGAAAACGACGGAAAGGCGCCCAATGAATATAAGAAAAACGATAAATAAAAGTGATCAAGACAACAAAATACAGACAAAAGCGATAAAAAACAAAAAAGATAAAAACCAAAAAAAAAATACTATTATTATTATTATTATTAAAACATAAGACAAAAAAGACAACAACCAACAAAAAAGCGACAAAAAAACTGGACAAAAAATCAATACAAATCTGCAAAAAGCTACCAAAAAACGCGAAAAACCCAAAAAAATCAGAAAAGGGACAAAAAAACGTCCGAAAATGATGAAATGATAAATAAGGAATATATGGCAACAGATTTTTTCAGTACGAATGTTACAAATTTTGAAAGAAATTTAAGAGCAGTTCTGCTGTAAAATATAATATACTCAGGAATTCCATTTCAAAAAAAAACAAAAAAAAGACAAAAACTACAAAAACAACAAAATGTAGATAAAACAGGACAAAAAGCGATTAAAAATGGAACAAATGCGATCCAAATACCAACAAAAAGGCAAGTATAAAAAAGACAACAACAAAAACACCCCAAAAAAATGACAAAAAACCCTAAAAAAAAGCAATTAAAAAACTGCAAAAAGCGACAAAAGAAGAAAATAAAAACAAAAAAATCAATCAAAAAAAAACAGAAAAGACAAAAAACTAGCAACAAAAAACGTCAATACAACGACAAAAAGACGACGAATAAAAGTAACAAAAAATGCAAGGAAAAACAGCAGAACAAGACATTGGATGAAAATAAAAAAGCACCAAAAAACAAAAAAAAATCCAAAAAAGACAAAAAAAGACGACAAAAAACAAGCGTTAAACAGGATAAAAAATCATTTCATTTCAAAAACGCGGTAAACAATACAACAAAAAAGAAACAAAAAATGCAAAAGGGCTAAAATCACGACAAACAAAAAAACAAAATGACGACAAAAAAAATGACAAAAATTTCAAGCAAAAAAGACGGTAAAAATGAGAGAAAAAACACAAAAACGACACAACAAAAACAAAAAATAAACCAAAAACGAGAAAAGGACAAAAATCGACAAAGAAAACGAGAAAAAAAAATAAAAAATGCAAAAAGCTACAAAAAAATGCCACAAAACAAGAAAATAAAGACAAACAAATCGATAAAAAACTGTGCCAAAATATGGCAAATAACGCAACAAAAAATTACAAACCCACAAATAAAGGACATTATATGCGACAAAAAACGACCAAAAACACAACAAAAAAAAGATACCAAAAATAAGAGCCATAAAAATATTACAGATTAAAAAGTGACAGAAAAAGACAACAAAAAAGACAAAAATCACAAAAAACAAATTAAGGACAAAAAAGAACCAAAAAAAAGGTGACAAAAACTACAACAACAAAGAAAATCAAACAATATACAAAAAAAATTTAAAACGGCAAACAAACTGAGAAGAAAGCAACAACAAACTTCAGAAAGCGACAAAACAAGAAAGTAAAGACAAAAAAATCGTTTAAAAAAACAACGAAAAACAGCGACAAAAAACAACAAAAACAACAAAAAGATATAAATGCAATTAAAAAAAACAACAAAAAACGTCATTACAACGACGAAAAGATGAACAATAAAAGTAAAAAAAAATGCAAGGAGAAAACGACAGAACAAAGCGAGAAACAAAACATTGGATGAAATTAAAAAACCACCAAGAAACAAAAAAATAAAAAAAAACAGCAAAAATAACAGAAAAAAGACAAAAAAGATGACAAAAAACAAGCGTAAAACAGGATAAAAAATCATTTCATTTCAAAAACGCGGTAAACAATACAACAAAAAAGAAACAAAAAATGCAAGAGCGCTAAAATCACGACAAACAAAAAAATGATAAATATTTCAAACAAAAAAGACGGTAAAAAGGAGAGAAAAAACACAAAAACGACACAACAAAAACAAAAAAATAAACCAAAAACGAGACAAAACTATAGAAAAGGCGAAAATCGACAAAGAAAACGAGAAAAGAAATAAAAAATAAAAAACGCAAAAAGCTACAAAAAAGGCCACAAAACAAGAAAATAAAGATAAAAAATCGATAAAAAATACAAAAAAAAAACAAAAACTATGCCAAAATATGGCAAATATCGCAACAAAAAATTACAAAGACACGAATAAAAGAGATAATATGCGACAACAAGCGACCAAAAACAACATAAAAACGACATAAATATTTCCAAAAAACAACAAAGAAAGATAAAAAAATAAGAGCTATAAAAATATTACAGATTAAAAAATGACAGGAAAATACATCTCAATAACAAAAAAAATTAAAAAGACAATCAATACAGCGACAAAGAAACGACAAAAACAACAAAAAGATATAAATGCAATTAAAAAAAAACGCAACAAAAAATGCAAGCACGATAAAAACCGAATAAAAAAAGAGAAAAAAAACACAAGAATGACAGAAAAAGAACAAAAAAATAGCAAAAAGACGGCAAAAAACAACAAAAAAAGACGACTAAAAAAATAAGACAAAAAAGACAATGACCACCGAAAACGCACAGAAAAACACTAAGCCCAAAAAAACGATAAAAACACAAAAGAAGAGGTAAAAAGGAAGACAAAAAACACCAAAAACGACAAAAAAAACTCGAGAAACAAGCAATAAAAACTGCAAAAAGCTACCAAAAAACGCCAAAAATCGCAACAGAAAAAGCGGCAAAAACCAGAAAAACCAAAAAAAATACAGAAAAGGAATTAAAAAAACCAAAAATGATAAGTAAAAATTTCTTTAGTGCAAACGTTACAAAGTTTTGAAAGAAATTTAACAGTAATTCTGCTATAAAATATAATATACATACTATGAATAACGCAAAAAAACAAAAACAATGTGCAAAAAGGACAAAAACGATAAAAAATACAACAAAAATGCAACAAAAAAATCTTAAATACAAGAATGACAGAAAAAAGACAAAAAACACAAAAAAGCAACCAAAATAGACAACAAACCAACAAAAAACGATAGAAAAACAACATTAAGCCTAAAAAAGAAGAGCCAAAGAAATGCCAAAAAGCGATAAAAACACAAAAGAAATGACAAAAAAAAGGGAGACATCAACACCAAAAACGATAAAAAACGACTAAAGCCTGCAACAAAAATGTAAAAAAAAAATGAATTCAATGACATTACAGTCAACGTTTATACAAGTGCAACAATACAACAAAACAGCTACAAAACCCAGACAGTTGCATTGTTCGAACACTGATTTATTTATCTCCTTTATCTTTCGATAACTTTTCACAAGTCCGTGCAACATAATTAAAAAAAACGAAAACAAACTCATTATTTTCGCCAACAACATGCCCTTAAAATTCCCAGAAGCCGAAACAGTGTACCAACAACACCCAGAATTGCGAAAACAGGACCTGGAAGTGTTACAACAATGGTTAAATTGGCAGCCACATCTGCCACAGTTAATCGGTACGTTTTGCACATTTTCATAAGTAAGTATTTAAATCTAAATCAGATATTTCAGAAACCCAAATATTATTTTTTCTTCATAATTGTTACAACGACGTAGAACGCACGAAAATCGCCATTGAACACTACTTTACCATACGAAATATTTGTCCAGAAATCCACATTGCTCTGACCCCTGACGTTTTAAAAACCACGACTGCCACAGCGTAAGTCACTTAAAAAAAAAATCGCAATGTTCATGTAGAATCTCCAGGTTTGTGAATATTCTCCCCAAAACCACCCCCGAAGGTTACGCGATTCTCATGATCAAACTCCTAGACGCAAGAGCGAATAATTTTAACTGCGTGAATAACCTCAATCTTGTCAAAATGGTTTCAGCACTACATGTACACCAAAAGAGTTTCCCAAATGGAAATGTCATCCTCGTTGACATGCACGGATTTTCGTTTAGACATTTATTTAAAATGAATTTGCGTGCAGTAAAATATTCGCTGGATCATCTCAAGGTACACTATTACACTAACGGAACGAACTATACATTTAATAATTTGATTTAAGTATATTAGACTCAAAGGGATCCACGTCATGAACGCCATTCCACTCACTGACCGGTTTATAGCTTTGGTGAAGCCCTTCCTAAACAGTGAACTGTATAATATGGTAACTAGAGTAACATTTTTGGCATCTATAGTGTATTTTTTGTTTTTAGATACACTGTCACTCTTCTAATTCAGACACTTTGTATAAATACGTGCCGAAAGAGTGTCTACCTGAAGACTATGGTGGCGAATTGCCCCCAGTTAAAATTTTAAGCGGTGTGTATTTTTTTTTTTTATTTTTACTTTATTTGTCGATTTTAGAGGAGTGTTTGCAGAATATGTTGGACAACTACGAGTTTTACGAGTGGCTGGATAAGCAAAAGATCGACGAGTCCAAGAGAACTGTGAAACACAAATAGTATATAGTATTATCCGTTCACGATCTTTATATATTATGAAAATCTAGTAAGTTTGTTGGTATTCCATGCAAAAGAATAAAAATTCCCTGAGCTTTTTTTTTCATTTTTGGCAACATTTCTTCGAAAATTCTTACCATTTTTGCAGAATCACCAATTAAAATATGGCAAGTTTTTGGATTATTAGAAATCTTTATATTTTTCGAATTAGCACCTAGAGATCTGCATCTCAAATTTTTTTGATTTTTTTACAACTTTTCCAAAATCTAAATTTTTCAATATTGCACTGTGAAATTTTTTATTATTTTTCAGACACATTCAAAAATTAGATAAAAACATTTTTTGTAGATTCAGATTCCCAGAAGTGCTTCATTTTTTCGAAAATTGCTACCGTTTTTCCAGAATCGTCAATTGAAAATTAAAATATGCACAAGGGAAAATTTCTTTTATGAAAAAGTCGTCCAAAAATTATTTAAAAATTCAGGATTATAAATCTTGACGTGCTGATTCCAAAAATGTAGCGTGTTTAGGGTCACGGAGCAATATTTTCGTTTGCACAAGGGAAAATTTCTTTTATGAAAAAGTCGTCCAAAAATTATTTAAAAATTCAGGGTTATAAATCTTGACGTGCTGATTCCAAAAATGTAGCGTGTTTAGGGTCACGGAGCAATATTTTCGAAATATTCGGAATGAAATTGGAATTTTGAAATTTTTAAAAATTGCGAAATTTCAATTGGCGATTCTGGAAAACCGATTGGAGTCAAAAATAAAGTTAAAATAAATAAAATGGGTCGAAATTCGCCCACCCACTCCTTCTTAATATAGTTCAGTTGTATCTTGGCAAAGTTTTAGCCCCGCCCACCCTCCCTTCATTTCCTTAAAGGATATGTCATTTACCAAAATCAGTCTTATCTTATCAAGTCCTAGCCCCGCCCACCCACCCCTTCTTTATTCCAGTGACTACCCTTAATATTGTTCAGTTCTACCTTAGCAAAATTTTTCGGCAATATTGTAAAATGACGCTATCCAATTTTGATTTTTTCCCAAAAATTTGGATGTCTAGGGTAAAAACTTCACACGGATTCATAAACTACAAGTACAGGAATATCTTATTTTTTCAAATTTAGATAACTTATTCGGTAAATTTTTGTGAAGACCTCTTTTTTTTAATTTTGGTCCGGGACCATAAATATTTTTCAAATCAGTACGTCGGGATAAATATCCCAGAAATTTGGTGGATTTTTATGGCAATTTTTCAACATGTACTTTATGAAATTTTTGACCATTTTTCGGTCACCTTCTAAAATTATTAGCTAAAGACATTTTTTATACTTGTAGTATTCAGACCCTAAAGTTATTTTATGCTTCATTTCTTCAAAAATTCCTACAATTTTTGCAGAATAACTAATTCAAATATGGCAAGTTTTTGGATTATTAGAAATCTTTATATTTTTCGAATTAGCACCTAGAGATCTACATCTCCGATTTTTTTTTGACTTTTTAACAACTTTTCCAAAATCTAAATTTTTCAATATTCCACTGTGAAATTTTTTATCATTTTCCAGACACCTTCAAAAATTAGCTAAAAACATTTTTCGTAGATTTAGATTCCCAGAAGTGCTTCATTTTTTCAAAAATTATACCGTTTTTCCAGAATCGTCAATTGAAAATTAAAATTTGCACAAGGGAAAATTTCTTTTATGAAAAAGTCGTCCAAAAATTATTTAAAAATTCAGGGTTATAAATCTTGACGTGCTGATTCCAAAAATGTAGCGTGTTTAGGGTCACGGAGCAATATTTTCGAAATACTCGGAATGAAATTGGAATTTTTTGAAATTTTTAAAAATTGCGAAATTTCAACTGGCGATTCTGGAAGACCGATTGGAGTTAAAAATAGAATTAAAATAAATAAAATGGGTCTGAATTCGCCCACCCACCCATTCTTAATATTGTTCAGTTCTATGTTAGCAAAGTTTTAGCCCCGCCCACCCTCCCTTTGTTTCCTTAAAGAATATGTCATTTACCAAAATCACTCTTATCTTATCAAGTACTAGCCCCGCCCACCCACCCCTTCTTTATTCCAGTGACTACCCTTAATATTGTTCAGTTCTACCTCAGCAATTTTTTTCGGCAATATTGTAAAATGTGGCTATCCAATTTTGATTTTTTCCCAAAAATTTGGATATCTAGGGTAAACACTTCACACGGATTCATAAACCACAAGTACAGGAATATTTTATTTTTTCAAATTTAGATAACTTATTCGGTAAATTTTTGTGATGACCACTTTTTTTTTAATTTTGGTCCGGGACCATAAATATTTTTCAAATCAGTACGTCGGGATAAATATCCCAGAAATTTTTGTGGATTTTTATGGCAATTTTTCAATATGTACTTTATGAAATTTTTGATCATTTTTCGGTCACCTTCTAAAATTATTAGCCAAAGCCATTTTTTATGCTTGTAGTATTCAGACCCTTAAGTTATTTTATGCTTCATTACTTCAAAAATTCCTACCATTTTTCCAGAATAACCAATTAAAATATGGCAAGTTTTTGGATAATTAGAAATCTTTATATTTTTCGAATTAGCACCTAGAGATTTTTTTTTTGATTTTTTAACAACTTGTCCAAAATCTAAATTTTTCAATATTCCACTGTGCAATTTTTTATCATTTTTCAGACACCTTCAAAAATTAGATAAAAACATTTTTCGTAGATTTAGATTCCCAGAAGTGCTTCATTTTTTCGACAATTACTACCGTTTTTCCAGAATCGTCAATTGAAAATTAAAATTTGCACAAGGCAAAATTTCTTTTATTTTATTTATTTATTTTTTATTTTATTTTATTAATTACGTCCCCCAACAGGCACTGAGGCCCAATTACAGGGGAACGGGACATACACGTTACACCCAGAGCCATGGCGGGAATCGAACCCACGACCCAAGGTGTAGCGGGCAAGCATGATGCTAACTAGCCCACCCCGGGTCCTTTATGAAAAAGTCGTCCAAAAATTATTTAAAAATTCAGGGTTATAAATCTTGACGTGCTGATTCCAAAAATGTAGCGTGTTTAAGGTCACGCAGCAATATTTTCGAAATATTCGGAATGAAATTGGAATTTTTTGAAATTTTTAAAAATTGCGAAATTTCAATCGGCGATTCTGGAAAACCGATTGGAATTAAAAATAAAATTAAAATAAATAAAATGGGTCGAAATTCACCCGCTCACCCACCCATTCTTAGTATTATTCAGTTCTATCTTAGCAAAATTTAGCCCCGCCCATTCACCCCTTCTTTATTCCAGTGACTACCCTTAATATTGTTCAGTTCTACCTTAGCAAATTTTTTCGGCAATATTGTAAAATGTTGCTATCCAATTTTGATTTTTTCCCAAAAATTTGGATGCCTAGGGTAAAACTTCACACGGATTCATAATCCACAAGTACAGGAATATTTTATTTTTTCAAATTTAGATAACTTATTCGGTAAATTTTTGTGATGACCGCTATATTTTTCAAATCAGTACGTCGAGATAAATATCCCAGAAATTTTTGTGGATTTTTATGGCAATTTTTCAATATGCACTTTACGAAATTTTTCATCATTTTTCGGTCACCTTCTAAAATTATTAGCTAAAGACATTTTTTATACTTGTAGTATTCAGACCCTAAAGTTATTTTATGCTTCATTTCTTCAAAAATTCCTACCATTTTTCCAGAATGACCAATTAAAATATGACAAGTTTTTGGATTATTAGAAATCTATATATTTTTCGAATTAGCACCTAGACATCTACATCTCCGATTTTTTTTTGATTTTTTAACAACTTTTCCAAAATCTACATTTTTCAATATTCCACTGTGAAATTTTTACCATTTTTCAGACACCTTCAAAAATTGGATAAAAACATTTTTCGTAGATTTAGATTCCCAGAAGTGCTTCATTTTTTCGAAAATTGCTACCGTTTTTCCAGAATCGTCAACAGAAAATTAAAATTTGCACAAGGGAAAATTTCTTTTATGAAAAAGTCGTCCAAAAATTATTCAAAAATTCAGGGTTATAAATCTTGACGTGCTCATTCCAAAAATGTAGCCTGTTTAGGCTGTTGGAGCAATATTTTCGAAATATTCGGAATGAAATTGGAATTTTTTGAAATTTTTAAAAATTGCGAAATTTCGATTGGCGATTCTGGAAAACCGATTGGAGTTAAAAATAAAATTAAAATAAATAAAATGGGTCGAAATTCGCCCACCCACTCCTTCTTAATATTGTTCAGTTGTTTCTTAGCAAAGTTTTAGCCCCGCCCACCCTCCCTTCATTTCCTTTATGGATATGTCATTTACAAAATCAGTCTTATCTTATCAAGTACTAGCCCCGCCCACCCACCCCTTCTTTATTCCAGTGAATACCCTTAATATTGTTCAGTTCTACCTTAGCAAATTTTTTCGGCAATATTGTAAAATGTTGCTATCCAATTTTGATTTTTTCCCAAAAATTTGGATGTCTAGGGTAAAAACTTCACACGGATTCATAAACCCCAAGTACAGGAATATTTTATTTTTTCAAATTTACATAACTTATTCGGTAAATTTTTGTGAAGACCTCTTTTTTTAAATTTTGGTCCGGGACCATAAATATTTTTCAAATCAGTACGTCGGGATAAATATCCCAGAAATTTTTGTGGATTTTTATGGCAATTTTTTAATATGTACTTTATGAAATTTTTGAACATTTTTCGGTCACCTTCTAAAATTATTAGCTAAAGACATTTTTTATGCTTGTAGTATTCAGACCCTAAAGTTATTTTATGCTTCATTTCTTCAAAAATTCCTACCATTTTTCCAGAATAACCGATTAAAATATGGCAAGTTTTTGGATTATTAGAAATTTTTATATTTTTCGAATTAGCACCTAGAGATCTAGATCTAGATCTCAGATTTTTTTTAAATTTTTTAACAACTTTTCCAAAATCTAAATTTTTCAATATTCCACTGTGAAATTTTTTATCATTTTTCAGACACCTTCCAAAATTAGATCAAAACATTTTTCGTAGATTTAGATTTCCAGAAGTGCTTCATTTTTTCAAAAATTATAC